TTGTCTGAAAAGAGATACTCGCAGGGAGAAATGTGGGAGCAGCTTCTGAGGCTGTTTGGAGAGAGAAGTGATTGTTTCCAGCTGGGGTGATCAGGGAAGTGCACCGACGTTTGAGGGCAAAGGGCACTTGAAGGAAACGATGGGAGAGGGGGGTCAGTTAAGTTGCACCTGAGGGGGAGCGGCAGGGGGTGAGGCCAGTGAATGCAGACTGAGGTGGCTGGTGGTGTTGGTATCGGAAGAAGGGGTGATTTTCCGGGTGTGAGGGGTTGACTGTGGGTTCTTGTGTTCATGTTTGGAATGAATTCACAAACAGACACTCAGAGAAGTGGGATGAGCACTTTATTTTTAATTTGTTTTTATTTTTATTATTTTTTATTTTTTTGAGTTGGAGTCTCACTCTGTCGCCCAGACTGGAGTGCAGTGGCCGCTCCCGGCCACCGCAGCCTCGACCTGCTGGGCTCCGGCGATCCTTCCGCCTCAGCCTTCCGAGTAGCCGGAATTACAGGTGCGCGCTACTACACCTGGCTGATTTTTTGATTTATTGTAGAGATGAGGTCTCGCTGCCCAGGCGGGTCTCAAACCCGCGGGTTCAGGCAATCCACTCACCTCAGCCTCCCAAAGCGCTGGGATTACAGGCTGAGCCACCGAGCCCAGCCTATTATTTTTTAAATAAAAAGATGTGGGGCACAATTCAGGATTAGGTACACAAACATCGATTATGCAGGTACCCTTATTGATGAGGTATGCCCCCCTTCCCACATAGCTTTATTAATCAGAGTATACTCTTTCCTTTTCTTTTTTTCTTTGAGTGAGAGTCTCACTCTGTCATCCAGGCTGGAGTGCAATGGCACAATCACGGCCACTGCAGCGTCAACGTACTAGGCTCTGGCGAGGCTTCTGTCTTACCCTTCCAAGTAGCTGAAACTACAGGTGAGTGCTACCACGCCTGGCTCATGTATGACTTACTGTAGAGATGAGGGCTTGCCAAGTTGCCCGGGCTGGTCTTGAACCCGTGGGTTCAGGCAATCCACTCACCTTGGCCTCCCAAAGTGCTGGGATGACAGGCTGAGTCACTGAACCTGGCCAGAATGTACCCTTTATAAGGTGAGTAGAGCCGGGTGGGGGAGTTCCGGGCCTATAGAGTCACAGGGGAACTGTCAGGCATGTATGATGGAAGTGGGAGGCTCCCCTTGGGTGATTTTATGCTAACAGTATTACAGTAGGTAGAATTAGGTTATGGTTATCTTGGGTCAACCTTGGCCATGGATTTGCATGCTCCTGGATGTCTAAGCTGGTTCCTGCCTTGGTGGTCGGCTCTTGCATGCAAGCCTTCTGGTTACACAGACTACAGTGCCACAGGCGTATCTGATAAGGGTCTAACAGGTAGGTGGGTGGGAAGTTTCCTATAGCTAGGTCGTTTTGAGGCAGGGTAGCTGGCGCAGCTTAGCCACAGATAGATGCATTTCCCATAGGTAGGTTTTAGGAAGCATTCAGATATTTTTAAAATTACATTTTGCCGGGCGCAGTGGCTCATGCCTGTAATCCCAGCACTTTGGGAGGCAGAGACAAGAGGATTACCTCGAGCTCAGGGGTTCAAGACCCACCTGAACAACATGGCGAGACCTTGTCTCTACAATAAATCAAAAAATCAGTTGCACATGGTGGTGCATGCCTGTGGTTCCAACTACTTGGAAGGCTGAGGCAGAAGGATTGCCTGAGCCCAGCAGGTTGAAGCGGTGGTGGCCATGAGTGTGCTGCTATACTCCAGCCTGGGCAACAGAGTGAGATTCTGACTAAAAAAAAATACAACAAAAAATTACATTTTATTGTAGGCCAAGCTGCAGCCTACCCCACTCCCTTGGCAAATTAAAAAAGAAAAAATCAGCCGGGCTCGGTGGCTCAGCCTGTAATCCCGCGCCTTTGGGAGGCTGAGGTGAGTGGATTGCCTGAGCCCGCGGGTTCGAGACCCGCCTGGGCAGCGAGACCTCATCTCTACAATAAATCAAAAAGAAAAAATCAGCCGGGCGTGGTAGCGCATGCCTGTAATTCCGGCTACTTGGAAGGCTGAGGCGGAAGGATCGCCGGAGCCCAGCAGGTCCAGGCTGCGGGGGCCGGGAGCAGCCACTGCACTCCAGTCTGGGCGACAGAGTGAGACTCCAACTAAAAAAAAAAAAAAAAATCAGATGTAAGACTAGGACAACCCAACCCTTCAATTTGTGGTGTGTCATAATGATCTCTAAGAATCTTTCAGGTTCCCTGTGAAGGGAGAAAGGCCCAATACCACTCCTTAATGGACCAAAGCCATAGAAATGATAGTAAGACCACCTTTTGGCTCACGAACTTGTTTCTGGCAGGTGTCCTGCAAAAGACAACGTGGTCAGGAGAAGACCTCCCCAACTTCTCCCATCAGGAGCCCAGAGGTGTCAATCTTCACAATGGCCTGGGCTCCACTCTCTTTCGTATATCAGTCATTGTAAAGGTACATCAGTTCTATTGTAGAAAGCCAAAGGTGCTGTGATTTCTTTCGCTCACACCGGCTCTAGCATGTCTCCCTTTTCTCTCTTCTTTCTCTAATAAATTTTGTTTGAAAGCTTTGCTGGTTGCTCTAAAATTCATTTTAGAAACGAATTAAAGAATCCACAGGTTTTGTGCTGCACCTGACATCAGTTTGCTTGTATGTGTGGCTTTGTGTTGGGAGCCAGCCGTGGAGGCCTGCCTGAGTGTTAGGGATCCAGGCAGGCTGCGGACCCTGAGACCACCAGGCTGGTTCAGGAGCTGAAGGCCCATTCCCTCCTCCTTTCCTTGGTGTTTAGCATTACCCACTGGTAGGGATTTTAAGGAGCTAAGCATGAAATTCTGAGAATATGACAGGCATGGCTGACTCTAGGGATCCATTGTTCCCGCTTCTCACAGACTGCGGTTTTGGCTTTAAACTTAACACAGTTCAAACTCCGATCACATTTGGGAGCCTTATACGTGATACAAGCTTCTTTATAAGATTTAAAAATATATTTGTAGAATTAGTATATACATTTAGAGAGCTGTTTCCAGCATGAGATGGTTATCTAGGGTTACCAGAAATGGCCCAGCACGAATTTTGGGCTGGACCACATTACTAAGGGCCCAGTGTCCATTTTGGGCTGGGCTGCATTCTTTTTTTTTTTTTTTTTTTTTTTTTTTTTTTGAGTTGGAGTCTCACTCTGTCACCCAGACTGGAGTGCAGTGGCTGCTCCCGGCCACCGCAGCCTCGACTTGCTGGGCTCTGGAAATCCT